AAGGGAGACGTCGGACAGGGCAAGATATGACAAAATAATAATTTATAAATTATCAAGGGCTCATGAGGGAGAGGGGAGTGGGGAGGGAGGGGGTAAATGAGGACCTAATGGGGCTTAAGTGGAGAGGAAATGTCTTGAGAATGATGAGGGCAATGAATGTACAAATGCGCTTTACATAATTGATGTATGTATGGATTGTGATAAGAGGTGTATGAGCCCCTAATAAAATGATTTAAAAAAGAGAGAGATAGAAGAGAAAGTAAAATAAAGGAGTCAGACACATTTCATGGTAGCATGCTCACCTCCTGGAGGACATGATCTCACAGCCAGGTCCACGCACAGTGTGGGCAGAGGAGAGGGGAGAAGAGAGGAATTTATTTCTAACCAAGGCTTATATATCTTTGAGGGTCGTGCAAGCCCCCTGATTACAGGTAAAAACATGTCACAGGAAGGGGTTATACTATAGGTAATACAGTAATGGGAGGGGGAATGATCTAGGGCAGCAGTTCTCAACCTGTGGGTCGCGACCCCTTTCGGGGTCAAATGACCTTTCACAGGGGTTGCCCAATTCATAACAGTAGCAAAATCACAGTGATGAAGTAGCAACAAAATAATTTTATGGTTGAGAGGGTCATCACAACATGAGGAACTGTGTTAAAGGAACCACTTATCTAGGGGTATGCATGCATTAGGAAAGGGAGGGATTGGTGTGACAAGATGGGTAGATCCTAGATTCAGGATGGCAGCCTAACTTTGGATGTTACTGAGCAGGTTTGACCTGTTCTAAGCTCTCCAGGGAAACAATCACTATCCTATCACTAGGGTCTGAGCCCCACCTATAGTGGACCAGACAGTAGTCTGGTTGCTATGGATGGCTGAATGCCTTCAGGGAGACTAGCTTGACAATCGTTTACCGTTCGTTGCAAGCAGTGTCCTAGGTCTGGGGGAGACGAGCTGGGGAACAGCCTTTTTATATCTCACAAAAGGGTTCTTTTAGATGGAAGGTTCTGGGAGCTTCTTTTTGGAGCCGGACATAGACGGTTCGAGGGAAAGAGCATCCCAGGCAGAGAGAGCAGTTGATGTAAAAGGTCCATGTTGGAAATAAGAAGGGAGGCCATCACGGCTGGAGGAGAGTGGCTGGGGGAGAGGGGAGAGATGCAGTCAGCCGTGTGGCCATGCCTTGCAGGCCAGAGTAAAGACCCTGGGGGTTTGTCTGAGGGAGATGAATCCTCAAAAGGTTATGAAGCAGAAGAGTATGATGGCGTGGCTACTTGTGGAAAAGCTGATCCACGCTAGCTGCTAGTGGACTATGTACTGTATGAGTAGGGAGACAGGATTGGAGGCTCTGTAGTGGGAGGCTCTTGAGGAGGGCTATCTACTGCTGCACAACAAGTTACCCTAACGGTTGTTGACGTTGTAGGCACCCCTAAGTCAATTCCAACTCCTCCTGACCGATAGGATCGGGTAGAACTGCCCCTTTGGTTTGCTGGGCTGTAATCTCCTGGAAGCAGGTCTCCAGGCCTTTCTTCTGCGGGTCTGTGGGTAGGTGTAAACCACCAACCTTTTGGTTTATAGCCAAGATATATATTGTTGCACATCGTCTCTGTGGGTCAGAGATTCACAAATGGCTTAGCCGGGTGGCTCTGACCCAGAGGGTCTCAGGGGGTCTCAGTTAAGATGTTTTGCAGGGGCTGTAGTCATCAAAGGGTGGACTTGGTGGGCCATTTCCAAAATGGCTCATTCACATGGCGGTTGGCAGGAGGCCTCGTGTCCTTTCCACATGGATGTCTGCACAGGACTGTGTGCGTGCCCACACCACATGGCAGCTGGCTTTCCCCCAAGTAAATGATCCAGGAGAGAACAAGATTGATGCCACAATATCTGTATTGCCCAGCCTTGGAAGGAGCACGTTGCCACGTTGGCCATTTTGCACGGTTGACAACGGGTCTTTCCGACTCACCGTGGGTGGGGTGACTCTCGGGAGGCAGAAGCCATGGTGGAGGCTATCAAAGATAGTTTCTACAGCATCTTTCCAAGTGGGAGACGATGGTGGCCAGGCAAGAGAGGCCCAGGAAAACTATACACCAAACACATAGCTGCCTCTGACCACACATCTGGACAGAGGTTTCCCTGTGCAGTTGGGTACTTGGTGGCCTGCTA